GATATAGATATATATATGATAATATATATATATATATATATATATTAATATATATAATATAATATATATAGTATATATATTATATAGTATGTATGTAATGTATGTATATATGCATATATCTTATATATATTTAAATATATCTATATTATAATAAATTATCTATATATATTATATATATATATATCTATATAGATATATATATATATATGTATATGATATGTATATCTATATATTCATCTATAAATATATATATTTAGTATCTTATAATATAATATATATATGTATTTATGTAGTATTGATATATATTGGCATATATTCTCTTATATATTTAATATATATATATAGAATATATCTATATATATATAATATATATATAATACTATATAATATATGTATATATCTCTATATATATTCTATAATATATGTATATGTATATGTTTATTTATATATATTTAATATAATATTATATATATATTATATTTATATATATTATATATATATATATATATAATATATATGGAATTATATATATATGAAAATATATAATATATAACTATATATATATTCTATATATATATCTCTATATATATCATTTATATATATGAAAAGGAAAACTCCACATTAGAAAAGAAATTAAATCGCACGTCGTGTTCAACATGGAAACTTGTTTATTTTCTTGTATTCGCCCTTTTACCGATGGGTTGCACGTCTGTTTAGGACAGGTGTGCCAAGCTCTGATTTCCTCCAGAAAACAGGTCACGGTCCCGCAAGACGCACGAGCACGAGCAGGTAAATCCCCTTCTTTTGTCCAGTACTTTTTGATTGCAGGTAAATGCCTGACCCCAATTTTTGTTGTCGCTTTTAGACGGTCGATCCCTCCGTCTTGTTATGGCCTTCCAAAGCTCACGTCAGGAGGCCTCAAGGCCTTGATTACCCTCTGTGACTCAAGTATCCGTCTTTCGACTCTTGCTATTGAGAGTTTTATCGCCGTTTTTACGGGTCATTCTCTATGAGTTATATTGAACATTCGAGGGATTTCGTGGAGAAGGAAATTACAAACATGCGGTTAGAATGGTTTTAATGTGGATTCCTATGTACTAATAGAACGTTTGGTATGTGTTAGATTTCAAAAGAAAGAGTACTTCATTTCATTAGAAGGCCCCAAGTCTGGACAACTGTTTTACTGAATTCACACGTGTATGTCACGTCTCATGAATGAGTTCTGACAGAGAATTTGTATGCAGGGTAATGGGTATCGCGAATGAGGAAGTAGAATGAACCCGGTTCGAAT